GTGACTCTTCCTAGTGCTGACGTGGTCGGCTGGGAGAAAGGCATCGTGTATGCAGAGGGCCAAAACCTGGCTCGGCTTCTCATGGAAGCGCCGGCCAATCACATCACGCCTACTGCTTTTGCCAAAACCATTGAAGAGAAACTGGCTCCACATGCTGATCGAGTCACCATACACAAGAGGTGAGTGTTTCGTTAATTTATTTATTTAGCTCTGAGCACTGATTTGGTTGTTGCAGTCAGTTACTTTATTTGTTTATTTTCATAATTAATTGACTTGGTGAATAAGCTATTATTATTATTATTATTATTATTATTATTAAATTAATGTATTTATTTACATTTTTTCATATTTTTTTTAAAGTCATGGGCTGATCTGTTTTCTTTCATAGGGGAACTGATTTTCTTTGGACTTGTTCAATTGGTTGAACAAAATGTTACCATGTTTATATTGTGTAATAGACACACAGTGTTTAATTGATATAAAGCAAAAGCTGTGTGTGGCCTTTAGGCATGGCACATACTCTTATAAACAGATAAACAACAGAGCAGCTTCAAAATAACTGCGCTTTGGCATCTAAGAATTTCCCCTCCAGGTTTCAGGACCCTTTCAATTCAGTTTCCTATTTCGTTGACCTATTGTACTAGGTATGACTGTGCAATGACAATAAAGATTTATCTCTTATCTCTCAAATTACTTTGCCTCCTCTCATCAGTTTCTAATCAAATACTGTACAAAATGGTCGCATTCCCCTGACTGAAGGCATATAAAAAATATTTTTTTATGCATCCATTCTTTTCCACTTACCTAATTTAGGATCGGAGGGGGGCTGGAGCCTATTCCAGCTGCCACAGGGAGAGAGGCAGGGTACACCCTGCACAGAATAGCTCCAATAAGTGAATTACTGTTGTATATTTGCCGATCCTGTTTTTGTTCTGAAGAGTAGATGAAGTAGAAGTGTTTTTGTCTAATAAACTGTGCCATTGTAGACCGCAGGCTTGGATCGAGGAACAACAGATGGGAGCCTTCCTTAGTGTGTCTAAAGGCTCAGAGGAGCCCCCTGTCTTCCTGGAGCTACATTACAACGGTTCTCCTGACAGTAAGCAGCCTCCGCTGCTCCTAGTGGGGAAAGGCATCACGTTTGACAGGTAACACACAGCAACACGGGCTGGGATCAGATACTGTAAATGTCTCACTGAACTTTTTCATTACACCATACAGTGCTGTCTTTATGATTCTCTGTCTGTAGTGGGGGCATTTCTCTGAAGCCCTCTGCCTCTATGGATGCGATGAGGGCCGACATGGGCGGAGCTGCCACGGTGTGCGCCTCCATCGTCACAGCAGCATCTCTGAAACTCCCTGTCAACATTGTCGGTGAGCATCTTGATATTAAATACCCTGTTTGTTTGTTTTTTAAATGTATTTTTGTCATACATAATATGTGTAAGTCTGAGCACTTCACTGCCCTGATTCATTCAGGTCTGGCCCCCTTATGTGAGAACATGCCCAGTGGGAAGGCTACTAAACCAGGTGATGTTGTCAAAGCCAAGAATGGAAAAACAATCCAGGTTAGTGGAATCCTGAAATGGGCATCGAATTGCTACCTGAGTGTGCTTGTGCCAACACTGTGGCTCAAGTGTTAGAGCGTGCCGTCTACCAGTCAGAAAGCTGATGGATCAATTTGCAAGAACTTGGAATTGCTTCTGAATGTTAGAAGGTGCTTGGACATGGATTAATGTGCTGTAAGAATGTTCTTGTGGCTGGTGTTTATTATTAAGGGGGAAAAAAATCCAAACCTACATGGCCCTGTGTGGAAAAAGTGATTTCCCACTAAACCTAATAACTGGTTGACGACCCTTGGCAGCAACAACTGCAATCAAGTGTTTGTGATAACTTTTCCAGCACTGCGGAGGAATTTTGGCCCAATGATCATTGCAGATCCCAACGGTTGATTCTGTTCGTCTGGACGTAGCGATTTCAGTGGGAGAAATGATTTGTCACTCATCCAAATGACTTCTTCAGTCTCAGCTGACTGCAGGTTTCCCCAACCTTATAAACAGTACATTTGCACAATGACTGAAACCAGCCCACTGAATGAACAATGGGCTGTGAGGTCAGTTCCTTTATCATTAATATGCAGATTGTAATGACCATTGATCAACAACCAGTTAAGCCCAATTATTTGCAAAATTGTTGTAATTCAGCCCCACTGGAGGGTTTTCAAGCATGAGCTGCCTTTTTAAGGTCGTGTCACAGCATCTCAATTGGATTCAGGTCAGGACTTTTGACTAGGCCGCTCCAGCGTCTTCATTTTGTTGTTTTTAAGTCATTGCTGGTGTGTTTTAGATCCTTGTCCTACTGCAGAACCCAAGTGCGTTTCAGCTTGAGGGTCACGACTGGCTGGACAGCCTCCTTCAGGATGTTTTGGTAGACAGCAGAATTCATGGTTCTATTTACCACAGCAGTCCTCTAGGTCCTGAGGCAGCACAACAGCCCCAGAACATAACATTACCACCACCCTATTTTACTGAAGGCATGACGTTCCCTTTCTGAAATCCTGTGTCGGTTTCATGCAGATGTAATGGAACACATACCTTCTAAAAATTCAACTTATGTCTCATCAGTCCACAGAATGTTTTCCCAAAAGTCTTGGGGGTCATTAAGATGTCTTTTGGTAAATGTGAGATGAGCCTTTATGTTCTTTTTGGTCAGCAGTGGTTTTTTCCTTGGATATGCCATGGATGTCATTTTTACCCACTCTCTCTCTCTTATTGTTGAATCCCGAACGCAGACCTTAACTCAGGCAGTTCTTTAGATGTTGTTCAGGATCATCTGTGACCTCCTGGATGATTCATCAACGTACTCTTGGAGTAATGTTTTGAGGCCGGCCATTCCTGGGAAAGTTCGCCAGTGTTCCATGTTTTCTCCATGCCTGTATAATGGTTCTCAACATGGTTCTTTGGAGTGCTTAGAAATGATTTTGTAAACCTTTCCAGACTGATAGATCCCAATTACTTTGTTTCAAAGTGTTTCTTTAGATCATGGTATGACGTGTTGCTTTTTGAGATCTTTTAACCTGTCAGACAGGTTTTATGTAAGTGACCTCTTGATTCAACAGGTCTGCCAGTAATCAGGCCTGAGTGTATTTAGTGAAACTGAACTCAGCTTTCCAAAAAATGTGGTTAATCACAGTTAATTTATGATTTAACAAGAGGCACAACTACTCTTTCACACAGGATCGGGTAGGTTTGGATAACTTTTCTCTTTCACACCACTCTAGGTACCAGGACATTTACTGCATGTGTACAGTTGTACAGTGTTTTTGTTTTTGTGTTCCAGGTTGATAATACAGATGCAGAGGGCAGACTGATCCTCGCTGATGCTCTCTGTTATGGACATGTCTTCAACCCCAGAGCCATTGTCAATGTTGCTACGCTAACAGGTATGATTTCTTTAGCAGTTTGTTTACACAGTGACATCAAATTTTCTTTATGCTGCAAGACATTAATCATAGACAAATGTCAAAATCGTGGCATATTTTGTCTTCAAGGTGCGATGGATGTAGCGCTCGGCTCAGCGGCAGCAGGAGTCTTTACAAATTCTGACTGGCTCTGGGAGCAGCTGCACAGGGTACTGCAGATACACGTTAAAACACGGTGTCTCAGTTCATCAGCTCTTCTGTTAATGTGTGTGTGTCTGTGTTTGTAGGCTAGTGTTGTGACAGGTGACAGGGTGTGGCGGATGCCTCTGTTCCAGCACTACACCAAACAGGTGACTGACAGCCAGCTGGCTGACCTCAACAACATCGGCAAGTACAGCCGGTACGTATCTGTGTCTCATCTCCTGTTAGAGGCATCGCTGCAGCAGAGAGACGTCCAGTCAATGCTCCAGTGTGCAATGAATTGGAATTTTTTTTCTTCTTCTCATGAGTGATTTCTTTTTAGTTCTGGTGGTGCGTGCACTGCAGCTGCATTCCTGAGGGAGTTCGTCAAAGCTCCTCACTGGGCTCATCTGGACATCGCCGGTGTGATGAGTAACAAAGACGAAGTCCCCTACCTGAGGAAAGGCATGTCTGGAAGACCAACACGTACACTGGTGGAGTTTGCTGCTGGTCTAGCCCACAATGGCTAAAAGGAGATGGACAACAAATATTGATTAGACTATTTCCCAATCTTCTAGCAAGACTCAACAGTGTAGGAACAGACCGAGGGCCAAACACGATGGTCAAATGCCACACAGTGTGAAACAGGCCACTGGATAAACTGATATAATTATATGAAATGGAGATATTTTTGTAAAACATCTGAGCTTCACTGTTTCCATAAACCACATGCATCAGTCTCAGACCAGTCCCTGGTCCTGTTGTCATCCTGAAGCTGTGTAGCATCAACAGTATTTTTTTGTAGTATGAATAAATAAATTCTTACTGGTAAATAAAAACTGTTTTGTATGACTGTCACTGTTCAAACATGCTCTATTGAGAATGGATGTACACGGTGTACCTCATTATAGTCATTTGATGATTTATTTATTTATTTTTAAGAAAAGAAATATGGACAGTACCTTGCTAGTTTAGGGACAAGGCACTGCCCCCAGTTTTTTATTTAAATTATTTATTTTCTTTTATTTGAAGGATTCTGGAAAGCTGGCTGCAGATTTGCTTCCACTCAGAGATGGCAAAATGAGTGAGCTGGCCTCTCCTCCTGGATGATACCTGACTCACTCGTCCCACAGGTGTTCGATGAGTTGGAGGTCAGGACTCTGCATCATTTGAGTGCACCCACACTAAAGTGGGAAAACCGTTTCTTTGAGGACAAAGACTTGTATGTAGGGGTGTTTAAACTACGTTTGCATTCCACTACAGTGATGCAGCTGCTGCCAATTTCTGATACACAACTGTACAAAATATGAGACATTACTCAGAAGCTTTAATGTATATAAAGATATAGATTCCTATCATCTCTCAGGAGGACGCTTTGACTAAATTATGTCCCCCACAAAAAAGCAACAGACCAGAAAGATATTGCCACTGTGTCCCAAAAGATGTGCAAAAGGTTGTCCACCTAAGTTTGGCTAGAAAGCTCTGTAGACTGTATACGCATGCGCGGACTGTAGAGGGGAAAAACAATCGGATCAAGATGGCTTCGTCCATGAGTGGGATGTTTAGCGGCCAGCAGCCTCCTGGGGCACATCCTGTCGGGGGTCCCGGCGGACCGGGCCAACCGAGTTTTGCTAGTGCCGCTCCCAGGACGCAAGGAAGCAACACGCTGGTGGATGAACTGGAGGCTTCTTTTGAGGTAGGAGTCTTCAGTGCTGGTTTCCTTTAGCTGTGCATGCTAACTGTCGCTAGCAGCTTTAGCCGGTTAGTTAGTGTTTGTTTGCTGGTGCTGTTGTACCGCAGGGTGTACCCATTTTACATTCAAGTCCTGTTCTTAAAATTATTAAAAATAATAATAATTATTATTATGAGCAAGTATTGTGGCGTGTAACAAAGTCCCAGCCTCGCCCCCTGCCTGTGCCCTGCTAATTAGCAGACACTTGGTAACAAACACACGGGCTGCTGTCTTCTAACACCTAAAACACCATAATCCTCCCTCTTTGTCACTTAACTAAAGAAAAAAACACAATAGACACACACTTCACACATCATGTACACCTGACTCCTTTGTTGGTTTAATGCGCTATGCTTCTAGCATTAAGCTGGGCAAACGCTGTGCGATTTTTTTTTTTTCTTCAGTCGCGTCATTCAGCTCCTGCTCAAACTGTACGATTGAGTCGCAGGTATTAGAAGTTCGTAGGTCACGATACTATACGGCCCGATGCTCTGATGCGACCTGAGTGCTCATACTGTGTCTCTCGCTCTCCCTCTCGGTCTTTCACTCACACAGCCCCCCCATCATCAACTTTGCTAAATTGCTAATGGAAAACATTGAGCAGCAATATCTATCCAACTCTTTTCACGGTTGTTGCGGTCGTTTTAATTTTGTGACGCCACGTCGAAATGTCTCGGCTGAGCTTGTGTCCAGACCACACGCTGCACTGCCACGCTGAGTTCTCTTTGCACAATATAAATTACACGAAGGATCTTCTCACATGCGTCTAACTGCTTTTGGTTGGGGACCTTAGTTCTTCAAAAATAGCTGTGGTTTTATATTATGAAACCAGTTTCAGCATGCCTTTGGAAAAATTTACAAGATGACAAAGCTTGGAGACAGACCCGTACAAACACTTTTAATCTCCAAAGAAAAAGGGTACAACCACAGATGTCCCAGTGGATATCCACAGATAAAGAGCTACTATCAAACCTCGCTGCCCGAATGAATGCCATTTATGTGCCAGGTGTTTATCACCTGACATCAGAAACCACTGTGAATAAAGCTGCTGTCAGAGTAAATCTCTGCACCCAGTGACAAACACAAGAATGGAGCTCTTTAATGCAGACGGTATTTAAGTTTCACTAAGGCATAAACATAGAAGTAGTTCTAGTTACAGTTTTTTACTAGCATTGATGTCTTTATCGTATTTTTCAGAATCAGAATCAGAATCAGAAAGGGTTTATTGCCAGATGTTGAGCAGGTTTACAACATTAGGAAATTGCTGCGGTGCTTCAGTGCAACATAC